GCTTGATATCTTATCTCTTCGTTGAAAACAATAAAACAAGAGAAATACCTTAAATACAAGAGAAAACCTTGTCTTTCAACAGAAAAAAAAAACAAAATGAACAAAAAGCGAAGAAAGATAAAATACATACTCTCTTTTAAATAAAAAAAAAATTTCTAACGAATATCTTGTTTTTTAACCGGCAACAAACCTGAAAAACATACTTCGCTCTACGTCTCATCGACTAATATATGACAAACAAAATGAAGTGGCCATTTGTAAGGCCAATCTTACGATGGCAATGGCTAAGCTGCAAACACAATGCATGAGTAAGCTACATACATCAAGATAATCTCCATACTACTAGCTTACGGTTGACTAATCTTTCATTTTTACATTATACAACTGCAGCTAACAAACATAACCATTCAAATTTTATGTTAAACCTTGGTCGAATTCATTTTCCAGCAGTTTTTTTCCCTTTTGTGGGATTTTACATTGGTTGGAACGGAAACAATTGAGTTTTAATCGATGCACAAAATGGAAAAGAAAAAGCTTTGCTGAGTGTGTTCCTTTTTATTTACCGACTACGTACTTGTAACGAATGTTTGTTGTAATTTGATTAAAAAAAATGCCGTCATTTTGAACAAAACCAAGAAATGCATTATCCATAATGCGGTCAAATCGCATTTATGGCACGCAATTCTTCAAATTTGGCAATATTTTATGTATGCTGGCATGAGCAGATAATGAATAAGGCAAAAGTGTATAATACCTTAAAAACTTATTTCGTATTTAATGTACGCCATTCAAATGCATATAGCATCAAAGTGGCTTTTAAAAGGCGATGCGAATTCGTGGTTTGCACCAAATTTTTTGATCACGAAAAACGATGAAAAAGAAACATGAAAAATATAAAAGCATAGTGATCACGCACGAATTGTTTGTCTCAAATTCTATATTTGTTCATTTTTGCGCAGTTTGTGGTTGCTTCGTTTTGATTTTATTTTGTGTATCTACTTTTCTCTCTTCCTCCTTTTTCGATGTGTCTTTCAATCTTCCACACAGTGTTCGGTTTTTCGCCAAACTTGTCATCCTTCTGTTTTGATTTTTATGTTTCAGCTCTTTGGTTTCATCTTGGTTGGGAGCTTTCCTTTGGTTTTGCTTCATTTTTTCCCTCCCCATTCTTTCTTCTCTCTTTTTTTTTATTCAATTGCCATTTGAGTGTGCAGAGTGATCGAAACTTTTCGGTTGGTTCGTAGTTTTGTCTCTTTGTTTTGGGTCAAAGATAGAATGGACGGTAATGACAACGAAAACTCATGTAACTAAACTACTTCAGTGTAGTGCTTTGTGGGACGAAAATGAATGACAAACAGAATAGCGAGAATGAGAGATTGAGAGAAATATAAAGATAGAAAGAGTAAGCACTCGCTACAAATACATCCTTATTTTATGCTTTTAATGATGGGGGCAAAGGTGGTCAATTCGTTTATTCATTTTGAAAAGTTTTCGCTTTGCCAAACTCATTGCGAATTCAAGTTTTCAAAAACTTTGCCAAGTTTTCGTTTGATTCTATTAAACCATGATTTGTCGGATAACAAAAATTTGTCATTCGTTGTTTTCTCTCTGTTAAAATTGAAGCGAGAAATGAACACGAGATGCTGCTGCTACGTTGTTGCTGCTTTTTGTATTCTTTTCAACAAAGATACACACACATCCACCACATTTATATAAATAATTTGGAACATAGTGCACTAGAGACAGACTTTTCTCCCGTCTGTTTTCATTTACTCACTTTGTGTCTTTATTGTTTTCCATTCTGTGTCTGCTCCAACGTATGTGTCGATGCGGTTTAACCCGAACGTCGGACATTATGTGTATGTGACCAATTGGTGTTATTTGTACAGCATACGCGACGCGTAAATGCTCTTTGTTGTTATGCTGGTGTGTGTGCAGTGCATACTCTTCATACATCAAATGATTTATGAACACGAAAACAGCATTAGACAATAAATATTTATAAGAAAACTACGTGGAACACACGTATACTTCTCTTCTTTTTTCCTCTCTTTTTGTCCATTTTTGTCATCCATTTATCCTTTAACCAATGTTCATACGGTATATTTTCATTTACTTTGGTGACATAAAACAGAGAATTTATTTTTTTTTCGTCGACTTTTACAAAATGGTCGACGTACGTTTAGAACTCTTCAAATCTATTTCCATTTACGCTATTGTTGCTCCAAACAATGGATGCGAGGTGAACGAAATGTAGTTAAAGTTTGATTTCTATATCTATTCGTTTCGCCACATGCCAGTTTAAAACTCACATTCGATATTTGATTTGCTCAACTATTTTATACGTTTGCACTTTTTTTGTGTGTTAAAAATCAGAGACGGTTTTGAAACGAGTTTCTTTTGGAAAATACTTTACAATCTCTATGTCCGTAATTGATTTTAGATTGACAAAGTTTTGCTACTCTGCTTTGGCGGAGACAAGTTTATTCATAGAGAATGTAAAATTAGTGAATAGCATGCGATTAGCTCGCATTCTTCGGAAAAAAAATATATTTTTTTTATTTTTTTTTTCTTTCCTCCATTATTGTTGAATCGAATTTAATCACTTATTTTAGGCTAGACTGAGTTAAACACGAATTTTCAGCTTAATCACAAAATTTTGTTCGGTCGTTTGAATGATCAAACAGTTTCGCTGAATTGCACCTATAAAAATCTTTTCATAGACAAAAGGGCAGATAAGTTATTGACAATGATGTGGTAGTTGAGAGAATTACAGCCTGTTTGTTTCGCTACAATACGGCTGAATTTGCATTAATTGAAACTGTTTGTGTGTCTGGTTAGACCATGTCCACCTCTACGGAGTCAGATAAAATGATAATCCACTCACTAGACCATGATTCACTCACTATTTCCCTTAATAACACATGACGATTTTTCATACCTTCTGTCAACATTTTTGCGTATTCAACATCAAACGTCGGCCATGGTCGCTGAAGCCATGAAGATAATGGAACATTCCTCCGGACTTTTTTTTTTTGCTCACTGCCCCGCCTTTAAAAGTGACCTTGTTTTCGATTGGATTCAAATCTGAAGACCGTGCAGGCCAATTTAAAACTTTGATCTGATTTTCTTCCTTCTTTGAATTGTTTACATCGATTACTCTTGTGTTTTGGATCGTTGTCTTTTTGCAATTAGTTCGTGCAGCCAGATTCGATTCCCTTTTTTTTCATAAATTTTATTGGCGGATAGTGTTCGAGTTGTGATTAGTCTTTGTGGATAGTAATCAGCGTGGCCATCGACATGTTATTCACTTTTATATAATTCCGTTCAGAGCTGGAAATGAAACTGGTAATCTAAGCACTTTTGCTGCATCATTGATTGGTTATTTTACGCTCCGAAGATGTGAACATAAAAGTACTGCAAACTATTGCAGTAGTAACTGTTCATTATTTTCATTAGTGCGTCGACTTTAGTTTTGTTGTGCAACATACTTTTTCAGATGTATTGTAGTGATTCAAACAGGCTGTACATACAATACAGAATTCCATCAAAATGCGATTAATTTTTATAAACTTAATTCGATTTCCAAGAGGTACGCTTTAGTTTGAACACCTATACATTTTTCTGTTCCTAGAAATTCAGAATCACAAAAGGGAATTGTGTCGTAACTATTTTAATTTAAATTTCCAACATTTTCTGTTTTCAATAAAAAAATCTCACGTTTTATTGAAATTGCATGAGTGATATAAGTTCCAGAGGCAGGTAGAGTGCGAAAGAAAGCGAAATAGAGAGAGCCATAAGTAGAAAACACTGTCAACATATAAAGCGATGTTACAAAGGTGTATTACATTTTTTAACCTTTTCAAACGATTGTATTCGGAAGCAAAGGGTGTTTCTTTATCAAATTGTGAATACATTCCATCAAAATGCCAACCGTATATCAAATACGGAATTGCTTATTTCTTTTTGCGTCAGCGTAAACCTTTTTATCGCTATATGTGTGCGATCGAATATATGTATAGTTTTTGAATGCATTAAAAATAGAGTGCAGCATTCACATAATGTATATAACAAGCACACGCATATGCTCATGTCAATGCTATTTGTTTTCAAATTGTTGATCGTACTCAAACTTTTATTCCCGTATTATTTACATTCTGGTTGCTGATTTTTTTCATTCGATCCCGCATGCTAGTATTTTTCAGACTCACATTCTCTCGCATAATATTTGATTTCGCATGAAAAACGGAAACAGGAAATGAGTTGTTGAACATTTTTGGTATTATTCATATGAATATATAATAAAGTAAAAAAAATAATATAACGTACATGTCCATAGGAGCACACGCAACAATGCTGTGTATACGAACAGAACAATAACTGACAATGGCATTGCTTGATATATTTTAGACTTATTTCATCAATATCCTGATGCTCAATAAAAATGTGAGCAGATGAATATTCCCGTTTGAAACACTCTAAAATCAGTAAGGAGTTTGTTATTGCATTTTTCTCTCAGCACAATCTTTTCCATATTTCTTTTTCGATTTTGATGAATTTTGCTGAAAACAATTTCAATCAAATGGGAAAATAGTGTCGGTGTCACATACGAAACATAATTGCATTTCCCATCCATGGCAGGGATTTTCTAAGGGGGATTCACAAAAGTTTGTACCGTGATTCCACTATATAAATGCTAATCCCGCTATTCCACTAATCCGTCATTTCATTGTCAAATATATTGTGTCGCTATTCCATTTGTTGAACACTTATTTATCAAAACTGAAGTATAAAATTTTGTCACCGATAATTTTGAATGAGATATTTATATTTTTTGGCAACAAGAATATTTAGTACTAAACAATGAATCCACGTGTCCCCCTAGAGAATTTCATTCATCAAGACCAAAGAATATTGCATCTGTTGATTTTCCTAAATGATAATTTATTATTTTGTTTTGTTTTTTTTTTCTCACTCTTCTTGTATTCTTTGTACTTTAATAGATTCGCCTGTATGCGCTGAATCAACAGTGTCGGTAGTTGGTGCGTCATTAGATGAATCAATATCGGTTCCGTGTCGCGTGAATGCCGATCCACCTGATGTAGAATTTGAATGGAGTTTTTCAAGCAGCGGTGAACGTTTTGAAGTGCCACATGGACATTATACAACCGTACAGGATGTCGGTGTCGGTGGAACGGATGGTTCGAAAAGTGCTTCAATTTTTTACGATTCGGAAGAAACACATGGTGAAAGTGATGGTAAGCATCCGTTGATTATTCGTATTTTCAGCGAATTTTCGTTTTTTTTTATTTTTATTTTCATTTCACCAGCGCCACAAACACACCATTCCATGATCTCATATTAATTGACGAAATTTTTATCGTGACCACAATAATTCTTTAATTTATATTCTCGTTGGTTGAATTTTTTGTTGTTGTTTCAAACTTAATAAATTGTGTCATTTAATTGATAAAAAGGTATCATATCGCAGTGGACGACATGGAATGTATTTTATTTTCAACACAGTACAACAAATTTGCATATTTTCATGAATCATAAAAAAGCGGTTTGCAAATTTATATATTGAAAATCGAAATCAGCACTTCGAAATGTTGGTCGAAGCAACAACAGCGAATTGGTATATGTTAACATAAACTAACTTGAAATAGCTGCACATTCATTTTGTATTTAATGATCACGTGCGGACAGTCTTTGGCTTAATGTGAAACGTAGCTGATTTCGTTATATGCCATTCTCCGGCCATTTCACCAAAATATACAGAAATTAAGGGAAAAGTTGACCTTCAACCAACAACCAACATTCCGAAGGGTTCTTTCATTTTTGCAGCACCTTTTTGAAGTGAATCGTCATAGATGATAATTCAATAATTCTACAGTATCAAAATCTTCAAAAATTTGATTTGATTTCAACAATGGTTTGCTTCGTCTACTATCACACATTTTACATTAAGTCCCACGACCAAAGACTGGCAGTGTTATTTTATACTTTCACAATTGGGATTTTCCACCCATTAACAACATTATTTATAGCGTCGCTTAAACATACCGATCGAATGGTTATATTTCAATTTCACAAAAGCATATAATTATTGCAATGCGATGATAAAAATATTTTATTACAAAAGTGTAAATAAATCGACATGGAGTCGTGTGATATTTGTAATTCTTTTTGATTTCCATGTGACTGTTTAAATCGACACCGAAATAAGGGGAGCCAACCAAATCGATTTTTAAATGATGAATGGGCAATATAGAGTAATGGTGCCCATTTGTAACTTAAAGTTTGAGATTGAACATCCAAAATGTCACAAAAAATACACACACACACATTACGCATTTGTTACGAAACTATTATGCACATTGAATGCCATTAGGGGCGATTCAATCCATATGTGACTTCCCTTCGTTGAAATCCCGGCAATGTTTTTTTGTACATTTTTTTTATTCTTCGTTTGCATGTGTATGTGTGTGTCTCCATTTTCGTTCACATTTGGAGACGCATGTGATGCGCTGATTTCTCCATAAAAAACATCATGGTTTTTGTCGTACTTGTAAATCTCCATCAAAACCAAATGCAACAAATTCAGTGGCTAGCCGACACCATTGAACCGACAACACATAAAATAGAAAGCAAAAAAAAAAAAAAGACTCGGCGACATTTCCAACTAGGTTTTTAATGTCGTCGCACGTTTTTCATGTAATGCCTGAAAAATATCTGTTAATCGGTGCTTTTTGAACTTTGAAGATATCTTTCATTGAGCCATCCTCGTTGTAGCTAGTGATTTTTTTTGTTATTTGAACGCTTCAGTTTCGAAATCGTTTGTCAATATTAAATATGCTTGGTGCTGATGTCGTCTATACTCCATAAATGGTCTGTCACTGTGAACGCGTGGACGGGAAATCATGAAGGGAAATAATCTTTTGGAAATGTAATGCGTTTACAATAGACTGAAATGGTTTTTTTTTCGCCGCTGCTGTAAACCAGTCATTTCGTGTGATTTATCACATTGCCATGTGTGACGCAATTACACATCAAACACGTGCCTCGTGTGCATCGCGCGTTTACTTCTTAACTAGAAACCTTTTTACCACTGTCAAAAGTCAAATGTTCTTCAATTCGTGAGTTGAACACATAATATTTCTTTTTCGTTTTCCCCAAATGGTGGTGCTTCCACACTGTATAGTTTTTTTTCCCAAAATTTCGATTGTGATTTGCACAGCGAAACGACACTCTTTCATAGTCCATAATATCATATTTTGTGGCGCAAGGAAATGATTTCTTATCTGTGATGTGTTTATAATATAAATAAATAATTTCTTTCTTTCCCGTTTCGTGTGTGTACCAAAACATACACACATGCACGTGTGATTAATTATTGCTCAGGTCGACACATTATCGAGACGGTTAGTGAATTGATTTATACACCGAAAAATGAACGTGAATACGGTACGTTGGCGTGTTGGGCAAGGAATTCAATCGGTAAACAAACGGAACCGTGCCTATTTCAGGTGGTTCCTGCAGGTAATTATCTAAAATTTCCTTACTCTCCCACATCATATTTTTTTTAACATAGTGTCTAAGCGTCTTTTATTCCATTTTTTGTTTTGTTTCGTTTGTTTAATTATTTATGTGTTTTAAGTATTTTCATTTCACATAAAAAAATGTAATAAACTCTCTTTCCTCCCATCAACTGCGCTTGATCTCGGTCAACAGCACCATATTTTTATTTCACGTTTAGTTTGTTAATAAATCGTGCAAATACACATTTAAGGAAGAAAAAGAAAAATTAAAATATAAAAAAAACTTCTATCGTTTTTATTGTAGCTAAACCGGCACCATTACGTAATTGCACGTTACGACCATATTTAACGAGCACTTACGCGATAACAATGAACTCAACGAATCTAACGGCCTCAGCAGCACATTCAAACGCAAATTACAATAACCAGCAGCAATTAAATGGACCAAAAGAATTGAATTACATAAATACCGAGTACATGAAAGATCGAAATGCTTTCGTGTCAACAGCCAGTAAAAAGTCGACCAGCAAAAGCAAAAATGGTACGATAAACATGGGAAAATTTAATAAAAAGACTTTATTGGCCAATGGTGATGGTGGTGGTACGAGTAGTGTTGGTACTGTTGATGACGCAGTCAATGGTGGTGTACGTGAGAGAAGCACAAAAAATCGTCGTAATACCAAAAGTTACAATCCGGATAATAATAAAAAATTGTATTTACCTCATACAAAAGATGAAAACCTCAATGCTGTTGTAGTGGGCGATGACATCGGCATTGATTATGGTGAAAGTGTAGAAGATGGAATTTCAAGCGATGATGGTATGACGAGACCAGCATTTTTAACAGCCAAATCAAATTTGTCATACATGACATCGAGAATGGATCATCAAAGGAATGTGAAACAACAAAATTTTCGTCCGGACATAAAACGTAACCTGAAAAGTTGGGCAAAAGGAAGTAATGGCCATAAAACAAATGAGGATGACACTGTAAACGATATGAGCTTTCGAATAAACTATGAAGCGACAGCAGCAGCAACAATGCAAACCATAAACGGTGGGCGCGGCAGCGATCGAGGAGACAAAAGCGGCTCAGCCACTGTACCAGACCTATTATCATCATCATCGTCGTCGTTGTCGTCGTTGCCGTCGTCATCGTCGCGGTTATTTTCGACGTCAACGATAAAATCTATGATAACCGCTAGCAATGAAGCTGTTGCCAATGGTGGAAATGACCGCAATCATCAAGCCAGAGACGACAGTTATGCTCGAAAAAACAACAAAAACCAAAAACGCTCTGACAACCATAAAAATTATAACAATCTCGAAATGAAAACTAGTGGTGGCCAGCTGCACAAACCAAATGCCGCTTACTTAAAATCATCGTCATCCATTTCACCCGAACCGAAGCCAATGCCGAGCGCAATAAATAATCATCATTTGAACGGTAACAATGTGATTGTCGATTCATACGAATCGCCGCCAACAACAATGGAATTAGAATGTGTTGCCGGCTACGATGGTGGACTGCCACAATATTTTTTGTTGGAGGCATATGATTCGAGAACGAGAAAATTGCGTTTGAATATTACAAGTGCCTTCAGTGATATACCACTATTTCGCATCGATTTGGCAGGTAGGTACCGCTAAAAATATCCGCACAACCCAAACCCAAACATTTGTTTTACACCGTTCTTTTTTTTACATTCTTCGTTTGGTGACTTCTTTTTTTGTTTCATGCAATGTTTTGAGCGTGCTATGGGTCGATTTTATTTTCCCTTTCTTGTGTGTGTTGGACCAAAAAAACGGTTAGCTTGAAATATTCGCCAGCCGCAGAGTTATCTGTGTAATTACGAAATCGAATTGAAATGGCTGCATCTATTTTTACGTTGCCTTTTCCATTTCTGATTCTGATAATAGCCGAAGACATTATTTTATTTGAGAAAGTGAATAATCGAATATTTTTTTTTTCGCTTCTTTCTCCCATAAAATTGTTACGAAAAATTACCCAAGCAAAGCGTGCAAATGTTCAATTCATGTTTCTGTTGCTCGACAACACTCGGGGATATGTACACAGCCAATTATGCATATTAACTTACACATTTTCTCTGCATCAATTTCGTTCTGGTGGTGTGCTTTCTCACAATTTTACAAGTTTTTCTCACTTGCACTCGCTCACTCGCTACATTTTTATCGATGAATGTTCACATGGCGGGAAAAAATGTAGCCACTTTTAAAATTAACTTAGTGCGCGTCTGTTTTTCTCTGTCTCTCTCGGTAAAATTTCATGCCATGAATTTATTGACATTGAATGCGTTTTAAAGCACAGTTCACAAATAATTTACGCTTGTTATGTTTTGCCACTTTATTCGAATATATCGTTTTCTTAGTTGGAGCAGTGGCAGGTTCGTTTATTTTTTTCGTTTCTTTTGTTTACTTTGGTTTATTGTTCGTATTTCTCTTGTGAATTTTTCCCGTTTGACTATCGTATTTTTTATCTCACCATTCCATTTCTACTATTTCTTTTAGATTTATCGCCATCGGAATTATCATCAGCTTCATCGTCACATTCATCTCATATTGATGGTGGTGCGCCTACATTACACTTAATAGTATACAGCGTAAATCAAAAGGGACGTTCAGAGCCAACTGTACTGGAAGACATTGCAATAAATGAAGCGGAAAAAAGAACAGGTACTTATGCAGTTGGTTTGCTGTGGTGTCTTTTTACCAGCATCTTTCATTGTATATACCATTTATGCATAAAGAGTTTTCTATTAAGTGTATTCGAAGTGATAAACAAATGGCGAAAGCATGAAACGACGAGAGCCTGCTGCTTACAGCAAACGTAGCGAGCATACCCATTCTGTTTTCTCATGTACATCGTTAAACCAAACATGTGCACACACCGAATACATAACACATCGAGCGAACAGATCAAAATATATTCAATCTACATCGTTTTTTAAACATTATCTCCCATCGTCATCTTACATCTTTTTATGCTAGAATCAAAATCAGAATTGAGCCAGCTCCGTCGCTCCACACATACGAACGACCAATGCAGTGTTTTTTTTTTTGTTCTTACTTGTTTCTTTTTCTTTTTCTGATTCTGACTATTTGTCGGCACGCTTTTCTTCATCGTGTCGCGCAACCATTTTCACATTTGTGTCATTGCTATTTCCACTGTCTTCGTTATTGTGACTTATAAACACTGCGTGTATGTGACTTTTGCTGCTGCTGTTTCTCAGTTTTCCTGTTGACTGTTTCCTTTTCGGTAGATCAAGATCCATTCAATGGATAAAAATATTATATTTCCACACATCAAATGTCACAATCACATAGCGACATGGAACACACAAAGAGAGAGAAAGGGAGATCACACATTGTATGTGTGCTGTCATGCGACTGAATTTATCCACACATCTTAGATTTACATTTAAGTTATCCGTTCGAATACACTCAACACTCAACTGGATAACAGTGGCACACATTTCAGTATTATGATGGGCTTCCTTGTCACCGATTGTTGCGAATAAGATAAATCTACACAGCCTTCCAAATATGATAAAGATGAAATCGCCTGTCGCGCGTCGTGCGTCTCGCGCTTATTTCTCACCCTCTTTCTGTACATTTCTCTTTTGTCCCATCTTTTTCGCTAGCGATTTTTCGAATACACCAGCTGTGTGTGTATATTTCTTTCTTTCAACATTGTAAAAACAAAAAAATAAATACACATATATTAAATTGAAACATTTGACATAAAAAAGAAATCAATTTGAGGATACATTAAGCATTTGGATTATCCGGGTCAACGAAAGAAAATTGAAACATTCTTTCGAACCGAAAGAATTTATTTTACACACACAAAGATTGAGATGGTTACAAAACATGCGATTTCATGATGGACACTCAATTGAATCGAATTGAAACTCCACATTTTCAATACAATACCTGTCAAATTATAGATAATGCGATCCATAGATTTACTTCTTTTTGTCCTTTTCTTTTGAATTTCGATGAGAAAATGAGAAAAAAACACGTATCTATCGGAGGAAAAGAGCGAAATACATTGAGCAAGAAAAAAAATCAATAATAATTAATCGACGTCATTACCAGAAATTGTGCTTCTATCAAGAATGTGTTTAATAAACTCGCTTTATTGTGTTCGCTTCGGAAATGAAAAATATCGAAGTTGTGATGAGATTTTTTTTATTATTGTTGTTGTCGGCGCTGCTATGGTTTGCAACAATGATAGTATAGTGATGTGATTCAGATGGTGAATGCTTTAGCCAGATTTGTGGAAACATCTAGGGAAACATACAACGAAAGTCGTGCGCTTTATGCTATTATTTCGAATATTGTTTTTCCAATTTTGATCTTTATTATAACATACATAAATAAACTCATTATAGTGATGAGATTTGGTTATGAGTGTAATTTAGTTTGACGCCACAAAGGCTCAATAAAAATAAATGTTCATTTTACATCACAAATAATAATTAGGTGAAAATCGGTTGCCTTTCACAATGAAAACAAACGATTTTCGAATCGAAAGTTTTCAGCATGAATTTCAGTAAATTCGAAACGATGACGCACATTTGGTCTATTTGGCTACCTCTCTCAAATCTTTATCCTTCGTCAAACCATGGCAACATTCCTTTAGTTATAATTTCAAGGTTTGAATCTACTTCAAATGTTTCATTTTTTTTTGTTCTACTAACAAGGTGTTTTACTGGTAACAGAGGCAACCAGAGGCAATTGCTTGAAATTGGAATCGATCCCAATCTCATTTTTTTTGTATTTTGATTCTCTTGTTCAAACTAAGGTTCAGGAAATGTAGTTGTCGTGATTGATTTAAATAAAAAAAATCGTATTGAAGAATTGAAATACACACACAGAGAGAGATATCCGATTCGAGTTAGCAGTTGTGTGGGTGGTTTGAATGAAAGAGCACGCGAGACAAAACGGAAAATGTTTCAATTTTTCCGAATTATTTCTTTCAGTTTATCTGGCGAATGAGACTTTGATTTTAAATTTGCATAAAAATGCGGGATGTGTGTGTGTGAGTTTGCGTGTGGCTGTGCGTGTTCTGTGTGACTGGCTCACACAGGTAACAAACTCATATGGCAGTCAGCGTGAGCATGCTTTTTTGCTAAAATGTTATGCGTGTTGTTTTTTATATATATTTCGATTTCACCATTCCGTTCATCATTTTCCATTTCGTTTTATCTATTGTATGCGTTCTGCTTATCAATTTCTTTATTTTGATGGTGCGGGACTCTCGAGTCGAAAAGTGCTATTCATTTGCTACATTTGCAAAGACGTGGAAAATGAAAACAAAATACATAACTTTATTCTAGCTATTCGACATTTTGCGAGAGTGGAAAATGTAAAATTGTTGGCACTGCTGTCACTCTTTGGGTTTTTTTTCTCTTTCTCATATTCCCGTTTTGCTCTTACTTTCTATTTTCTATTGTTACACTTGTCGTTTTGGTTTGTTCTCATTGAATTTGCCCGCATTTTGTGAGCGACTGAGATTCATTTTTGTCAGTGGCACTCTTTTCGGCCCGAAAACTTTACATATTTCTCTTCATTTTTATATTTTCACTTTCTCATCTCTCTGGTATAAAATATATCGTTTCTCGAAATTACCGAACAAAATATAGTATCCACGAGATAAGCTCAGATGCGCACAACCGGCATTAGACAATGAAAACTCACATACTTTTAAAATTTTCATAAAAAAAACGCAAATGATTTTTTTCCCTTTTCACAGCATTTATATTATTCATGTTATACAAACATGCATCTGTAGCAATGACAATAGCGACGGTATTTCTTTCGCTCTCTCTCTATCTTTCACTCTCGATGTTGCCACTGTTCCACCTTTTACACAAGTAAATTCTTTTGTTCCGTTTTAAATTATTGTACGTTGACAAAACAACAGCGAGACAGTCGGTATATTAGAAACGTTAGAGTGGGTGTGTGCTGAAAAAAAAGTCGACAACAACAACAATAATAACAATATACGGGAGGCAGAAGCAGCAGCCGTGGCGGTTCTTAGAAGCGAAACATCAGACGATCAATAAATTCACATGGCATATAATATTACTTGATTGTGATGTATGCGGCTCTAAAAGATATTTTAATTTTCTCCGTTCTATTTTCCACATCTCTTCATTTCCTTTTGAACTTCGGATTTTTTTCGAGAATGCTCTCGTCCCGGGAGTATACAGTGCTCGCGCAGAGAGTGAAAATAGAGAGAGAGAGATCAGTGACTTTGAATTTACAATTTCACTAACGTATTTTGTGTTCGTATTGAGATCATTTACTGTGCGAATTCTATTCCAATGAGAATGCGGAACATTTATTTAACAAACAAAAAATCCAAGCAATTGTTTTTTTTTTTTAAATGAAAAAGAGAGAAAACATTTAATCTCAACAAAAATTTTCATTTTTTATATAAAAACTATTTTGTAGTAGAAAAAAAAGTTATTAATTTTACAAATGGAAAAATGTCAAGATTAAACCTAACAAATTTGCACCGACATTTTCCGGGGTAATTCATCTAAATCGGTTGGACATGAAAAATTTTTGTAGGTTGCGAATGATTTTTTTTCAGATGGATTTGTCTGGATGTTCTGTAAATCCCAAAAGCAAATATAATACTTATTCAAATTGATTTTCCGAGCGATTAGCTGTGCGGATAAGGTTTCATTGCAACAATTAGATTTGGAATAACGTTAACATGCATATATACCGTTTGGATCCTTAAAAATCCAATCTGAACGATGTAGAGACTCATTCGATTTTTCAACATGTTTTCAAGTTCAAATTTCAATTTTCGATTATCAATACAATGGCGTTGTGTTGTAGTCAATTGAACATATATTGAGCATATACATGAATTTGTTATGCTTAATATTCTTCCCCTTCATGTTTTGTTTGTTTCCGCATCGACAAAAAACTTTTTTTTTTTGTTCACTCTTCAAATGGCTCAATCGAAAAACTTTGTTCAATTGATTTTTTTCTTTTATCTATTTTTGTTCGGGAAAACTTGATCATTCATCGAATTGACACTATTTCACATTTGTCGTTCTAATTCGATCTTTCACCCTTTCGATATGTTGTCGAAAAATATTTGATTAATCGAAAATTAGTTTCAGTATATTTATTTATTCAAGTAGATAATGTTTGTTTATTTAAAAAGATTCAATATACAACATATAAAACGAGCCAAAAGAAATTGAAATTACGTCGCCGAAGGGCGATGAACAAAATGAAAATTGTATCGAACTGTATTTATATTGACGTTCGATCCCATTCGGAAAAGTAAATGATTTGACCGAAAAAGTGACAAGGAAATATAAGTTAAATATCGAAATTAAATCCAATGTTCTAGTCTATCAAATAATTTAGTTATTGATGGGTTGCACAAAAACACCTAGCAACGCTCACTATTTGGAAAGGATAGAAAATCAAATGACGATTTATAATGAAACTTAAGAACGAAATCAAGCTTCGTATACAACCATTTATGCTCCAAGATATCTGCTGTACCATATGAAACATTCAAAATACACCCAAATCATCCGGTAGATTAGCGTTTGACATATAAATACGCATGCATACATGTACACACGTACATTCAGTCGGACATAAGTTCTTACAATCGAAACGGCAAACAAAAT